CCTCTGTCTGAGGATTGAGGAAGGGTAGGATCGATTTTGGGGGTGACCAGGCAAAAGGCAGCTAAGAAACCCGCAGGAGTGGAAACTCAGTCCCTCTGGCCAGGCTCCCTCCCAGGATGCTCGAGGGATGCAGGATGCAGCAGTGGGTCCAGCCTTGCTGGAGGGAGGGAGACAAGATTTCCCTTTACTTTCGGGCTAGGAAAAAACAAATTAGAGATAGCTTTAGTGGGTGAATGAACTGTGCTTTTGTTTTTGTGTTGCTATAAACATACAGCTCTGGTGAGAAGCTGAAATCCCAAAGTCTTTGCTCTGTTTGTGAGCGTGGGGCTTGGTTTATACCAGCCTGGTACAGCCAGTGCCCTTGGGGTCCCTGGGGCTTTTTGGGCTGGACAGGCTGCCCCACAGCATGGGACGGGGAGGTGCAGAAGGAAACTCCCCCCCCCCCCCCCCGGTGTAATTAAAACCACTTTCTTTGGGTCAATCAGGCAGGTGGGTTTTGTTGGTTCCTTTTTTTAGAAGATACTGGAAAGCTCAAGAAAAAGGCAATCACAGAAAAGGTCCCCCGGCAAGGGACCCTCCGCTTGCCCAGCTGGTGACAGTGATGGGTGCCCAGCTCAGCAGCAGCACAAGCCCCACAGTGCTGAGACTGGGGCAGGGCCTGTGGGGGTGGAGCCCAGGTGGGGGAAGCCCTGCCCACACCGCCTGGTTGCAATAGTTATTTGAGGAACAATCACATGGGTTTTTTTGGGCTTGGAGGTTTTTGGTTTTTTACCCTTTTGTATCTGGCTTTTCTGTAGCAGCCTCTTAGCTGTTTCTCTGCTTTGGTTTGTTTGGGGTTTTTTTTTGGAGGTTTCACTCTGCAATCATGAAACACGAGGGTTTGGGTCACCTGGAGCAGGCACTGAGCATCCCCTGGGCTGGGGAAACTTTTCTGTCTGCAGGGCTCTAAAACACTCAAGTTTCATGGTGGGTTTTGGTAGAAGCGGTGCTGCCCTGGCACGAGCAGCCCCAAACCCCCAGGATGCAGAGGCACGTTGCAGCAAGAGCCAGTCTCCACCTTTCTGGGTTGTTTTTTTTTAGGGGAAGAAAATAAAAACCACAGAACTGCGAGCAACAATGAGTGCCTTGACCATCTCCTGTCGGCCACGCCGGGCTGTGCCCGCTTCCGCGCCGGCGGTAGGGGCTTGGCCGATTTATCTGGCAGTCGTACCTGCTTCCCTCGTGTGCCAGGCTGGATCTTAGCTGGGAAGGGCTGCTGGGGCAGACAGGGACACATCCAGGCCACCACACCGGTGGTATCCACCGCTGAGCAGGGCCAGGCCAGACAATCACAGGGCAAGTGGAGGTGCTGGGTACCAAACCCACCGGCAGCACAGCGCCAGCACCCAAAGGGTGCACTCGTGGCTCCTTGCTGCCCTGACAGTATTTTTTT